ACTTAGCCGCCGTAGGTTACACGAGGATTGGAAAGAATTAGCGACAGACTCGCCGATTTGCCGCGCAACAATAGTTAGTCGATTACATAAGAAATCTGAAGAAAATAAGTTGTATGATTTTATTTTTATTATTTTTTTATGTGTAATGTTATTTTTTATTTTTATTTTGTTTATTTTATTCTCTTATTCTATTATTCTAAAGGATCAAAGATCAGGTGTAACGTGAAATCAAAACAAATCAATTAACGCATTAATTTAGGATAAGGGTCATAGTTAAGATAGGTCAAGATTGAGTAATGGTAAAAGCTATCCATATACCAAAATTTTGAAAGGGATTTTTTTTATTAGAACGCGAGAAGTGGTTTCATAAGCAAAATTATGAATACAAGCGATTTTTAGAAAAATAGATATTTTCTTTCGATTTCACGTTACACTTGATCTTACAATCTGATTGGTTGATCATGTGGTGCGTTACAACTAAATTACATAAACCTTTACTATAAATTAATGGAACTGATGTCTAATCAATTTTACTCTGAGTATCTAAAATTAATTTATCGTTGCTATAAGTAAAAACAATTTTTGGGGACCCGAGCCACTTCTAAATCAGTCAGAGGTTATTAAAAATGGAAATATCTACAAAAAAGTCACATCCAAGACAGCATTTTTATACAGTAAATTTGGTAATTTTGGTCAAAAACTGGCAGAATTTTGTATGGAAATAAGCAAAATAGTATCAAGCTTATTGATATATAGTTCGGAGTATCGTTTGTTGGTTAGTTGGATTCAGTAAATTAGCTGTCAATATGTCAGTAAACTGTCAGTGACAGTAAATTATCAGTGAATTCAGTGAATTGAATGCCATCGATAAATAAATGTCGGTATAACAAACAAATCGTTAACTGGAAGATATAATCGATGAAGCGAGCGACAACAAATCTTGAATTGATAAAACTCCTGCTATGTGGCTTTATTTAAGTATACAAAACAGAAGCCTCTTTGTAAACAAACAATTAAGCCACCTATGTCTAAGATTTTAGTAAATACAGACGCGATCCTCAATTTTTTTTTTAATTTTACTTATGAAATAAAAAAAAGGTATTACGAATTAAATAATGGAAGAAGAAGAAACCATCATTGATGTTTCAGATACAGATGAAGATATTAATTCTCGAATAGATATTCATCGTCCTCCGTCGAATGATAAAATTGTCCAAATTGTTTGTTCACCTAAAATGAAATGTGTAGCTACTATTTCACATATGGATGCAGCTATTGCTGAAACACAGAATGGAGATCCTACATATGGTGAAGAAGATGACCAATTATTTAAAGAAGCGAATTTATGGTCAGTAGTTAAAAAATCCGATGGGTCTGAAGAGTTGGTTTTAAAGCATGAAGATACCATTAAAGGACATCAGATAAATGAACCAAGACCTACATTATGGGCTGTTTCGGATGATAAGTATATTGTATTTAAGACAAATTATTTTTATTGTAATTTCGGTTAGTATATTTTATGTCCTTTTTTTTTATTTCCCGTTTTTAACTTATTAACGTTTATCAATTATATTAATTAGAAGTATTCAATGCTAAAGGGGAACGTAAAGAACTCTACTTTCCAAACAATCACAATGTAGTAAACCAACTTGCATTCATCGAAACCGGCGAATTAATAGTTGCACTGATTGAACCTGTATATTGCATATATGTATTCAAATTGGACCAATATAATGATTGGACTTATTCTTCTCGATTAGAATTATCATATTTTTGCGATGCTTTCATTACTGTTAAGGGAAAATTGATATTATTCGACGACAAAATATTTCAATTAACTAAATGGGATATTATTACTTTGTCATTTGAAATAAATTGTTTGATTGACTGGTGTTATAAAGTTAAGCATGTAGAAGTAAATCAGGGTGGTGAATTTTTAGCTGTCCACGCCGCTTATGTGCAGGGTGAAAATGAAACTACAAAGAAATCTATGGTTTATGTTTTCTCCCTTAAAACTGGGATGAATATGGCTTTTCGTAAGTTTATTTTTTAAAATTAAAAGTTATTTATTATGTTTTATGATCTAAGATTTTCTACTCAAAAATTTTTTTTTTTCAATAGATGAGTATGATGAAAGAACAATTATAGATAAAATCTACTTTATTGCTTATGACGCCGGGGAACGCCTACTTATTATATCACGTGACCAATTCAATGATGAACCCTCTACTCACTTAATGAATCCATGTGCGCTTAAAAATCCTGTTCCTGCCACAAAATTATTTGATACTGACGTGAAAGTTCGAGACCCTTACATAATCAAATACGATAATGTTATTGGAATGATAAATGGAGAGTTGGATATTTATGAAGGACTGGTTCGAAAGGATTGGATACATTATCTACGGAATGATCTTAATGATCATAATAGGATATTTGTATTTTCTGACTCTATATATATTACAAAAATGATTGAGGACGAATTATCTTCCGGAGAAAAAAATTTCAAACAATCACTGGAGTTCCCATCGGGGAAAAACCAACTTACTTACGATGGCAGCTTTTTGAGATGGAATTTATATAGTACGCCCAGTAATAAACCTAAGCTTGGCCCTCGGCTTGAACTTGAAGCCTTATTATGTTATAAAGTTGATCAAGATAAAATTGAATGGAGGCCAGTAGATGGTATATCTAAGAGAGCCATAAACCCTAACTTTCCACCTCCAGAACACACGAGAAAATTAAAAATTATAAAATGTAAATGTCTTGATAATGATGATTTACTTATGTTAACTACACTTGGGATTTTAATTTGGACCGTTTATCCACCAAAAGGAATTAGATTACATTATTATTGGGGGAGAGGAAAGATTAGAAATGAAAAAAAATTTAATTTAGGAAATACTTTTCTCAAGATAGAAGACTATCCCAAGACATTTCCTGATTTAAAATTTCAGATAATAATTAAAAATAAAGCAGTGAAGTTTGGCGGTGAAGAAAAATCTTTTTTTTTTAAAGAATTACTAGAAGATTATATCTCCGATAAATTTTTTATAATCAATTATGGATCAGTTTTAATGGAAACCTTTTTGTTTTTAAAGGAAGACGAGTGGGTTGAGAAATTATGTAAAGCGTGCCATGACTTAACTTTCACAGCCGATGGTCTTAAATCTGCTTCAGATATTCAGTTATTATCCATCATAATCGAAGTTTTTCCTCAATTATTACAAAGGCACCCAATTTATTTAGCTAGATTCTTATCTCAAACTGCATTTGTATTGCCATTGGCTGATCCCGAGTTGATATTAGATAGTGAAGTTCTCAGTTTATCGTCTGAACAACATCTATATCATTTTGGAACTTATAATAATTTAACGGAAAAAAAATCTTTAATGGATGTTTTTATTTCAAAAATTACTAATTGTTGGAATAAATTTCGTGGAAAAAATGATAGCGAATCCAACGTCGAACATCCCCACCCAACCAACCAAGCTGAAGCTGTTATTTCATATTCTGAGGCTACAATCAAACTTATAATTCCTCTTCCAAAGTTTGTCAATTATCCAAAAAAATATAATTTTTGGGAAGAATTGAGAAACCCTTCATCAAGTTTTTTCACAAATTCAATCGATCTAGAACTATACAAATATTGGAATAGTGAAGCTTTGATAAATTTCAAATGGAATACTTATGGATTAAGATATTATTTAACTGTTTGGTCGATTTATTCAGTGTTTCTTTTCTGTTACACTAGCGTGGTTACTTTGAGTAATTTTTTGACAGTATGGGAACAACAATTTCTGTTGTGTGTGGCAATTGCCTTGGGAATTTTACATTTGGTTCACGAGTTTAGGCAACTCATTCATTCTCCTGATGAATATATTACGTCACCTTGGAATTATTTTGGTGAATTATCATAATTTATATAATATGATGTAAAATTTAATTACTTTACTAATTTATTAAATGCATCAATAATAATTTTAATTAGACATAGGTGCAATAACATTTACTATATTAACATCAGTCATCTGGATCCGAAATGGCTCAGCTCCCATCTGGGCAACAACTATCGCCACTCTATTACTTGAATTAAAATTTCTTTTCTATTTTCGTGCTTTCAGATTTGTCGGTGTATATTTTGCAATGATATTTGGAGTTGCAAAAAGGGCCTTCTCTTTCTTGACAATTATTGCTTTTGTTGTATTTGCTTTTGCCCATTCTTTACACTTATTACTTAGACCTAGTACATCGTATTCGTTGGATGAGCCAAGTTATTCATCGGATCCAAATAATCCGTGGAATTTAGCAACATCATATAACCCTATTAGTGAAAATGGAACTATCTCAACCCAACCATCACTCATTGAACCACCATCTGCAAGTACTAATATGTTTAATATGTTTGGAACTTCAGTTTTGGGGGTTTATCTAATGCTTACTGGTATTTCTTTCTAATTATAATTTAATGAATTTTACGTAATAATTTGATTAATCTTGTAATCATTTAATCAATTTTGATAATCATTTGAATAATTTTGTATTTACAGGTGATTCTTCTCCAATAGCTTCTTGGGATTTAGAAGAAAACTTCACTTTGATCATTTTAATGTTTTCATTTTCATTTTTTACGACTATTTATTTCATGAATTTGTTTATTGGGTTACTTTCTAATGAAATTTCGGAAACAAATAATAATGAATCTTACTTAATTCAAAAAGCCGAAGTATTTAAAAAATTTTTTAATTTAAATATTTGCAAAAAAAATGGTTGACATAGATTTAATGTATATATTTATTATTATTTTTATTTTTATTTAATATTAGATTTTGGCAGAAATTGAATTATTTTATATGCTGCCTCATCAAAGAAGGAATAAAGATTGGTTTCCAGAAGTAATGTACGTCACTCAATTTATGGTACATAATCATTAAAAAGAAAAAAAAAAAATACTAAACATATTATCAATTATAGAATATATATAGCTCATGTGAGCGAACTTCGTGACTTAATTCGTGAAATTCAAATTGGAAATTGGCAAGGATTTGAAAAACCAGTTCTTTCTCAAATTCTGTTAAAAGCTATACAAGCTGAGGAATATGATAATAATGAGGAAGGCAGCAGCATTAAAAATTTGGAAGATGAAATTAAAAAATTGGGAGAAAAGCTTCAGCTGTTAATTGATGCTAAACAAACAGAGCATACTGTATGATACAGTATAATAATTTATCAAATGTAAATTCATTTTACCATATATTATTTATACATTTGGTAATCATTTATATATGAAGTTATATAACACTTTTAAAATATAAATCTACGTATTATAAAATTGAATTTCTCCGTATGTTGTGCTTAAACTTGGATTCGAGTTTATTTTACAGATTCGAATTCTTGGAGATTTCTCAACTATCACATTTGCCCACTTTTCCAAAATATTCAACACTGGGGTTATCGCACTCAAATAAATTTCCAATAATATGATTTAAGTTACCATGTTCTACTGTTCTGCATAAAAATAAATAGTGTTAGAGGGAAATCCGGTTAAAGCCGTTGCGTAACGATCGTCGAAAACGTGACCGAAAACGTGACCGGAATCG